CTTACAAAGAATACTCCATTTGACAGTGTGCGTGAACGCAGGCGGTCGACACATGCGCTCTAGAAAGATTCATCTTAGTCCAGTGTCTGCTCTGTTTTTCTCCAGAAGTTATGACAGATAAAAATGTCCTTGTACTCTTTAATCTAAAGTTGTGTCTCTCTCATAACCCCCTCACACAAGCGCTTGTCAATGCAGGCGTCTGTTGTTGTTGCAGTCTCTGGTATTTGTTGTTGTTCTGTCTCTTTAGTTTCGTTTCTGCTGTGAAACAATGGCCCAGGCCAGTGTTGCCACCTTGTGGAACAACTGATTAGTGCAAAACCAAGTCAATGCGCATGCGCGACCTGCATGTACAAAGTAGGAGCTATAACAAAAATTGGATGGTGCACATACAGTACGCGCATACTTTTCTGGTGACGAAATTTGCCCTCGCGCACATGTAAAAACCAAAGTATACTTTGGCCTTTAGTGTGACGAACTCGAACCCAATACAAAAATCGAATGTATTCCTATTGAAATGACTGAAACTGCAAATATTTGCTGATACAACTGTAAATGTGACCGCATCTTTACCTAACTCTCAATTCAGAGAGGCTGAGGGCAGAAACAGTTTTTCAGAATCCGTGAAGGTCAATGGGGTCCAAACAAGACCTTTCACATTGCACTTAACCCCTCGTTCTAAACCAGTGGTTCTCGAGATACATTTTCCTGCAGAGTTTAGCTCCAACTTTGATCAAACTCACCTGCCTTTAACTTTCTAGTAATCCTGAAGACCTTGATTAAGACAATCAAGGGGTGTTTAGGGGTTTAGGGGTGTTTGAGTAAAGTTGAGTGGAGTTAAACTCTGCAGAAGAGTGGTCCTCGAGTGTCAGAGTTGCGAACCCCTGTTATAAACCTTTAACATACGAAACAAAAGTTGCGGTAGTCTTTTCTTTACTATTTTGACGTATATATGTGTGAAATGGCTTCTTGAACATTAAACATTTAGGGAGTGATTTGATTTTTTTTTCCATTGGAAATTGATTGGACCATTGTTGTTTGCTATTGCTGTGATCTCATGCAATATTCCATAAAATATAAGAATTGTCCATTTTGATTTCATGCTGACTTTAACCCCAGCTAAAGGAATGTTTAAAGGGGTCATATGATGCTGCTAAAAAGAACATTATTTTGTGTATTTGGTGTAATGAAATGTGTTTATGCGATTTAAAGTTAAAAAAACACATTATTTTCCACATACTGTACATTATTGTTTCTCCTCTATGCCCCGCCTTTTTGAAACGCGTCGATTTTTACAAAGCTCATCGGTCTGAAAAGCGAAGTGTGCTCTGATTGGCCAGCTATCCAGTGCGTTGTGATTGGCCGAATACCTCAAGCATGTGACGGAAATGTTACACCCCTCACCATACTGTTGATGCCGTGTCCCGGTGCGACGAGACAAAAAAAATGAAAACCCATTATAAACGAGGCTAGGTAGGAGTGGTTAACTCTTAACTTTTATAAAGAATATCTCTTTGGATTTGAGACTTTAGTCTTTGCAACTTTACAGATCTTCTTTATGCACCAAGAGCTTGTAACACTCCAAAGAGAAAGAAAAAATTGAAATCGCATCATATGACCCCTTTAAGACTGGTAATTGAGGAGCTTTTTACCCTATGAAACCCTGGAGCAGGGTTAGCTCCTGCTTTTGCAGCATTGACCCCACAATGCGATGCCAAACTTGTACAATGTGAAACAATGCAGTGTTTAAATGTTACAGCTAGATGCGTAGCAACAGTCACTCAGTCGCGTGCCTCATATTCACATGCATTGGACATTCACGTAAACACTGCTCGTCTTAACTTTATAGTCTGAAAATCAAGGGAAAACTTTATAGTACTGGGCGATATGTAATGCGAGGATGCGCAATGCTATAGTTAACTATTTCAAGTCTGAAATACCCTTGATACAATTTTCGAAATATACAGTATCTTCTGTTGTGTTCCACAGAAGATTTGGAATGACACAAGGGTACATAAATGATAATGAAATGTATTATTGGGTGAACTACCCTTTATAATTCGATTTTAGTGTCAAACCTCCTACAGAAGAGGGCACAATTTCAGAAAAAATAGTCAATATGTGCATCATGCTCAATAATTAAGCCTGGGAGAGGAGTACCTAATTACATGACTTTCTCTGACCTCTATCCACTGGTCACTGCCAAGACCACGAGAGTCTGTCCCACTGACTGAACGATAATATCAAGGCAAGTTGGATGTGTTTGGTGTGTCGACAGGGCCATCAACACCCAGCTGGGGCTGTTAATGCCCACCCGCTGAGAGGTGTGACTGTGCGCACTGACTCAATCTGATTTTTGAACGACTATGTAAATGAAGTTAATGAATGATGAACAGCTGAAAATTAGCTACTGGGACACCAGCATTAATTGATGCCAGCCTGACCCCAGCCTCAATCTTCCCTTCGTACACAGAGAGGAGGCTTGCCAGGGCTAATCGTGTCTACAGTAAACTAATTGATTACAACAGTGCATTTCATAAATGAAACGCAAATTCATATTGTCTTATAATCTAATGATGGATACCCATTTTCTGAATCACTTGCATACAGCCCAAACCATGCACATCTGCCAGTCCAACACAGAACGTTTTGACTATGAAACGTCCATAGATGAAGCATAGTGACGTGCTATAGCCAAATGCCTTGATAGCAGAGATACATGAATAGTGCCCTGAGCTGAATATGCCCAGTTGCTTCAACTCTCAGCTGAATTAATGTACTGATATTCAAATCATGCTTCAGATTTAAAGATTCCTCAGAGCATATGTGGTTTTGATAGTGCTACAGCAGTATTAGTAGAGGCTGGTGCAGTAATATATCAGTGCATGTGTTGTGTCATGCAGTACACAAGGGGTTATGTGAGGGCTGTCATATGAGACACACCTGTTTGCTGTGGTATCTCTGATGAACCCAGCTCTAAACAGGAGTGATTAACTCTATAGTAACACTGAATCAAAAGAATGTTCTGTGTTACATATGAGTCAAGCTGTATCAACCACATTTGTGGCATAATTTTGATTATCACAGAAAATAATTTAGAATTGCACTTACATTAAGACTTTTGCATGATACGTGCAGGGTTACCAGATCAGGACTGTTGACATGCAGCAAATTCCACTCATGAGAATGACAATGAGTACGTTTACATGGACATCAGTAATCTAATTATTTACCTTATTCTGAATAAGACAATATTCAGATTAAGGTGTTTACATGAGTTGCTTTTAGAATATTCCTTTCATGTTCCTGTTTTACATGTGCCATTAAGTGATCTATGCACTATAACAAGTCGTTACGTTCCCACGCAATGCCATCCAACGTTCCCTCCAGAATTTCACGTATAAACATACAGTTCATATTCGGCGGTGACATATACAGTTTAGGGTGTTTCATTTTTAATTTTACGAAAGCTTCAAGTGCAGTTAATTATTTGTCATGCTATACATGCAAACAGATGCTTAAAAATATAATATATGACGGATAAAAATGTGCCTTCTTGCTTGAAGCCATGCTCTTTTGTTTGCCTTCAAATGGTTGACCACTGCCGTGTGTGTATCCTGTTGCAAAATGCAGTGAAAAGTCCTACACAATGGTAATAATAGTGTGATTAAGGTATACAGGTATGTCTATACTGCACTTCAATAATGCGACTAAAATAGGAATACTCCACGTCTTAATTCGATTTGTGTTTACTTCGAGTATGACTTTAGCCGGATTAAGGTAATCAGAAATCTCTGTTTACATGGTAGATTCTTAATCAGAGTATTGTCTTAATCATGTTAATATCGGAATATTGTTGTCCATGTAAACATACTCATTGGTAGATGTTGGACACAAAACCAGTAGATCATTTAAATGGAACGGTATTCCTACGTCAAAAAGAACAACTTGGATAACTTTAAATTATGCATTAAATTGATCAAAAGATATAGTAAAGGCTTATATAATGTTACACAAAATTTCTATTTCAAATTAATTATCTCTTTTTTTACCATTACTATATTATTTTACTTACTGTTCGTCAATAATAAATGTTTCTTGAGCAGCAAATCAGCATATTAAATTGATTTCTGAAGGATCATATGACACTAAAGACTGGAGTAATGATGCTGAAAATTCTGCTTTGTCATCACAAGCATAAATGACATTTTAAAATAGAAAACATTTTAAATTGTAATAATATTTCAAAATATAACTCTTTTACTGTAATATTACTGTTTTTACTTTTTAATCAAATAAATGCAGTCTTGGTGAGCATAAGAGACATATTTCATGAACATAGACCGTAATACATAATAATAATTTAAGTTTTTTTTTTTTCAACATTATACCAACAATTGTTTACATGTCAATATTGTTTACGAAGCTGACACAGAATCAAGTTCTCGAACACTTATCTGTCAGACAGAATGGGCATTTATGCTTGGTATTTGAAGAATTTGAAAAAAATACTCTTTTAAGTGTGAAGAATTATAACCTGTTATTCAGTGTCAAAGTCAGAGTCATGTGATTTTTTTTGTGATGTTGTTGTGGGAACAGAGCAGAGGAACATGTTTCCTACTAACTGATTCAGTACACTATACTCTTCTTATGAATCTTGATCTTGATTGACGGTCAGATATTGGTCAGTGCGGCTGTCTATTTTTTGCTGTGTCATGATTATTTGACCAGTCCTGGCAGAATTTAGCATCTGTTACTAAGACCAGTTTCACAACATGTAACCTAGAAACCAATTTGAGGTAGGAAAGCTAGCAGAAGATAAATAAGATAGATCAGATATCAGAATAGATATCATCTCTGTTCTGGCTTTTTTCTGCTATTCATTTAGAATTTCACAAAATAAGCCACTCTCCTAATTTCACATCAGAATTATGATTCTTTTGAACAAAATCCACTTTGCAAATTCAGTACTTCATTGTCTTCCGTACTGATGTGTCTCACAGGCTCTGGGCTTTCCACTCCCCCCACCACCCCGACACAGAGTCCCGTTCCACCAGTCTTCCCTATGGAGACCCCCAGTCCTGCAGAGCGCGTGGAGGAACGACGCTCCCGCTCTCTCTCATCTCCCCCTGACACAGGTCAGCACTTCAGCCTGAGCCCCTCCACCAACAAACCCCCTATCGCCTCGTACACCTTTAACTCTACCTCACGCCAGGTGAGTGAACAACTTCACACGTTCTTTCTGGGATTACTATAGTTTACACTTGACCCATAGAGAAGCAAAGTCATTTTTACACCTCTAGTGGCACCTTCAATCAACCAATTGCATATTTATTAAAAAGACAAAACTGCTTGCTCATTTTCTTCACCTAACATACCGTTTGATGTTTTTCGATCAGAGCAAATTGTTGGGCAAATGTTTTTTCTTGTTTTGGGCAATTCATATTTTTACATTTATATATTTTTAAGCAGTTACCTCAAAGTGATTGATATTTGCATCAGTAATATATCTGATGCAGCAACTGAGGTCAAGTACAGGCATTCTGGACAATATGATGCTTGTAATTGACCTTTTCGTAATTGTGACTTTATATTTTGCACAGATGACTTGTCGCCTATTAGCCATTAATATAAAATTAACAAAGGTCAACAACTGCACATAGTCTCATTGACTTGCATATCTGTAAAGACAATCTGTGAAAATATGTGGAAATGTTTGAAAAATTACTTGTACAGTATTTGCGGGACAATTTGTTATGGAAGCCCATTGCAAAGTATTTATTATTATGGAAAGTTTACATTTTACAGTTGCAACTGCAGGATATAGAGCCCTAATAACTATTTAAGACTATGACATTATTACTACAAAGTTGCAAATTCAGAAGTATAAGAAAGTTTCTTGTTATTGGGTGTTTCTTCAACTTCAGACACTTATGTCCCACAGGCTGATATTTATTAAAACAAACAGGTGTAAATGAAGATCACAATAAAACTATATTGGATTTTTTTTTTTTTTTACTTTTGATACTTTTCAGGTGACTTTTATAGATTCTTTTACACCTGTCGCAGACTCAAATGTAAACGTAAAAAACTATTTATAAAACTATTAATTAATCCACATTCTCAAATCTATGATAACCTACAGTTAACAAGCTGTGAATAAACAAACTATTTCCATTATTTATTTTAAATAATTTATACACAATTATTTAATTTTTAAACCAATTATTATGTCCCCCATTTGTGGTGTCATTTGCAAAATGACCAACAATTTCCCCCAATAAAGCTTTATCAAAAGTGAGTGTACTTGTTTACCAACAGCACTACAGTGAAGAACTTGAGATGAAATATGAAACGTGATGTGCGATAAAGATAAGTCAGTGTAGCCTAAATACCAATCGAACAGTATATATTCATTTCCAATCAGATTTTGTCAAAATATGCAAAAAGTGTGAGAACACGATTTAACTGATATAAAGTGCTAGCTATGTATGGAATTACCCTTAGCAAGACAAACAACAAGCTAACGTTATTTTATTCCAAAAATGTTTACAATTTCCACAACAGAATGTTGGACATTACTAATAGACAAATAAATACACTCGTTGTAAGAGTGTAAAAGTGTGTCGTAAGAGATTTTTCACAGGACCAGAAGTAACGTAGTGCCCGTTCTTGATGAAACACCCTACTTTGAGTAAGTTACGCTGTTTATTTATTAGTTTTTGTGGCAGGAACAGCCAGGATTACATAGGACTTTTGGAAGATTCGCTGGTTTGATTAAATACCTCAAAATAGAAAGTACCTTATTTCCTGCGGCTAAAGCTGTGATCATTGGCTCACGCGCTCATGATGTTTAAAATGCTGGTTTTGAGACAAAGCCGCAGCCGGTGATTTTTATAGCTATGATCAGTGAATTCGCATTTCTTTTGTTTCTTCGTCGTCCAGCAGAGGGCGACAGAGCTATAACTAGGGCCAAGTAATCGCTTCAGACCCAGTGTTGACATTGTATACGCTCCTTATGAAGTAAGTTACTCTACCTGCGCCTCGTTTTTACAGATGTGAAACAGACTCGGAATGTTCCATTGTCACCTTTGCAGGGGTGTCCGTCTATTAATATTTCACCACTGCGCTTAATGAATCTGTGAGTGAAAGCTCTTCAGATCACTCTGCTTCCTGTGTGGTGACCAGACTGCTTGTTTGCAGATAAGCAGATTTTTAAAAATGGACGCTACCACTCCATAGGATCGAATAGGGTCTTACTAACTTTGAAGTAAGTGATTGTTGATGAAACCATCAGCCCGTGTCTTTGTGTTTCAGAGCTGCGTACTTGCTGAAGGCATGCTGGAAAAACTTGAACTTGATAACGAAGGTAAATGATTATACTTATGCTTGCTTATTTAATTTCATGGTCTTTGCAAGTTTATGGTTGATGACAAAATTTAATTTGCAGCCTGTTCTTAAAAATAGGTTTGCTGTATGTAGTATTTTTGTATTATTTTTTGAGTATAATGGGTATAATTCATAACATAATTGGATTTTATTTTGTTTTAAAAAATGAATAGATTTGAAAGTTTTACCCAGATAACACACATACGTCTGCAAGATGTCTGTTAAAGATCGCTTGATCTGGAAAGTATTTGCTTTTAATTAAATTATTAATTATAAAGATTAAAAATCATAAACATCTTAAAGACATTTTCTAAATGCCTATTTGACATCTGATAGGAAACATCCTATAGACGTATTGCAGATGAGCAAACACTCTAAAAAATACATTGTGCAGATGTAAATGCAGACGTCAAATAGACGTCTCCTAGATGTACATGTGCTATCAGGGGGTATGCAAAACATTTGTAACATTTTTAACCCTGATAGCACACGTACATCACGGAGACGTCTATTTGATGTCTGCATTTACATCTGCAAGACGTATTTTTTAGTGTTTGCTCATCTGCATCTTGCAGACGTACGTGTGCTATCTGGGAAGTGTTAGAGATTGCAAATGATTCTAATGCTAATGATTCTGCTGATTTCTTCTCTGCTTTCAGCTGCTGAAGAGCCAGACAGTGACATTTACATGCGCTTTATGAAATCCCACAAGTGCTATGACCTCATCCCCACCAGTTCCAAACTAGTGGTCTTTGACACTACATTACAGGTACGTCTTAAATGTCTTCTGTTGTCTAACACAAGAACAGAAAGTGAAAAGATTTGGGTATGGAGTTTTGTGTTATGTTCAGAATGGGAAAGTATCTTACTACATACTGCATACTAATCTGTTTACTCTGTATACTGCTCTCTTTTTAAAAAAGTAGTATATGTAATTTAGGAATTATTCCATGATACACATTTCAAACAGTAGTATGTTGTGTTGTTGTCACATCAGCACAGCTGTAGTTGCATCTAGTCCATTCATCACACTAGAAATGGTCTAGTTGAATGCATTGCAATGTGGGATACAATATTCCATGCAGTTTACTTCATTGTATATTGTATAAGTCATTCCATTTATACATGAAGTTGCATATGTTGCACAGTATAGTGAGTATACATACCAATGCAGAAATGGAAAGTAAGTTAGTATGCTTTTCTGAACATACTTGTTTCAGTTTTGCTTCCCAGTTGTAGTTTAAACACATGATGTGTAAGTGGTTGTGGTTAATGTTTCATCAGTAAATAAATCTTAGTTGGTGACTGAAATGGATGGGATCTCTTTGAAGTGTTTGGGAAGCAGTCATAAAGCTAGGTTTGTCAGGGTTAATCAGTAATCATGTGCAGGTATGTGCCGTTGTTAGATCTGGGGGTAACACCGTTATAACCTATTAACCTGTTGACTTTCCTCTGGCTGAGGGCCAGTTTAAAATAATAAAGGCTCAGAGACGATCAATGGAATTTTATGCTTAGACTGATGTACTTATTGTACTTGTTTGTGAATGAAAGTTTCTGAAATTAGGAAGTTTTATGTCTGGATTGTGATATAAAGTTTTTATGGGCCATAACTTGAAATTGATGTGAACTGCCTTTATACTGAAATGCAAGTTAATTTTTAATGGATAACTGGTGGGTTGGTCAAAAATGGAGAGAATTTGTGTTAGAAATGATGGGTCCAGGGTCCATAATGTGCCAAATATGAGAAAATAAAACCATTGTGTTCCGGTTGGCCGATAATTTATTAGAAATTGCACACATTATTTAAGTCAAATGAAGAATGAACCCTTTAACCTGTTGACTTTCCTCTGGCTGAGGGCCAGTTTAAAATAATAAAGGCTCAGAGACGATCAATGGAATTTTATGCTTAGACTGATGTACTTATTGTACTTGTTTGTGAATGAAAGTTTCTGAAATTAGGAAGTTTTATGTCTGGATTGTGATATAAAGTTTTTATGGGCCATAACTTGAAATTGATGTGAACTGCCTTTATACTGAAATGCAAGTTAATTTTTAATGGATAACTGGTGGGTTGGTCAAAAATGGAGAGAATTTGTGTTAGAAATGATGGGTCCAGGGTCCATAATGTGCCAAATATGAGAAAATAATAGCATTAGTGCGTAAATAAAACCATTGTGTTCCGGTTGGCCGATAATTTATTAGAAATTGCACACATCATTTAAGTCAAATGAAGAATGAACCCTTTACTGATATAAGCCACATGAGCATTTCAAATAATCCAGAATCTTCGAACATCTTTGTCATCTATCTTAAGTTTATCTAGGATGTTTAATTTATGGCATAATCTTTGCATTAAACCTTCAAAAAAAGGTTTATTATTAATAAAGTTCCTTTACCAAGCTCAAGCTTGTTTTACAATAAGCATACTGTATGAAATTGCAAAATTGCAGAGAAGGAAAAAATTGCTCTTCACTTTTCAATAGTTTCACTTCTGGGCTCATTTTGTGTGATGCTGCAAATGTCACAATTGATAAGCAGCTTATTAATTGTATTGCTATAGGGACAAAACATGTTTTAATCAATACAAAATAAAACTTTATGGCCAGTAAGAATTGTTTAAGGCCAAATTTGCCAGTTCATTTGTCATTGGCAGGTGTGGACTTTTCTTTTTTTTTAACCCTGGTTGCACCCAACTCATTGTATCTTCTGTGATATATATTTTTTTTGTCTCACACCACCAGTTCCTCCAGAATTGTTTTTAAAGGCACCTAAAGAAAAGCATTGTTATGTGAATCCTTTGTTCTCTTTTAGGTAAAGAAAGCTTTCTTTGCCTTGGTTGCTAATGGAGTTCGAGCTGCGCCATTATGGGAAACCAAAAAGCAAAGCTTTGTGGGTAAGCAATGACACGTGCACACACATGCTCTCACCTGCATTTCAGTCATTCTTTTCACTGGAGTTGTCTTTTATAGGTCATGCAGACAGAAAATGTTTAACTCATTTAATCCTGCAAGTCCATTAAAAGCCTGTCTTGAAATTATTGTTAAACTTAATCAGTAATCAGATAAAAACATTGCTTCAGGACATTATTTGTTCACCTGTAACATAATTGGACATGCTTAGGTTAGCTTGCTAACAATAATATGTACCAAATTGGTTGAAATTCATTGCTGCCTATTTCCTGTCTGAATTGTTTTGAATTGTAGATATTGATAAACTGGCCTAGATGGAATTTGCTGATGTTTTTCTAATTTTCTGTGCTGATATTTTACACGAAAGCATGAAAGAAAATTTTAACATGGTCAAATGTGTTAAATGATCTGAGAGCTCTTGTTGGTAAATGAACAGCAATGTATTATAGCAAATGCACAAAGGACATTGGATGCATATTCTGCAAAATCTGCATGCACTGTTTTTCTGTGAGCCTAGATATGAGTCATATCTAATGATATGTTTTCTCAATAGGAATGTTAACCATCACAGACTTCATCATCATCCTGCACAGATACTACAAATCGCCGCTGGTAAGGATTCAGACATCACAGAAACTCAAATACAACAAAAGTTTTGCTGGTCAGTGTCATTTTGCTCAGTGCTAGTTTGTGGTTAATGGCTGTTCGCCGGAAATTACCTTCAAAAGTGGCTTCAAAAATTCTCTTCAGCTTGTAGACCTTGCATGTAATCACTTAATGAATGTTCACCTAAGAGGAAGGATATTTGTCCATTTTAAAATTTTAAGTCATTTTTTGTGTTATATGCCTCAGGTGCAAATATACGAGCTGGAGGAGCATAAGATTGAGACTTGGAGAGGTAAATATTTTCAGCATTTTCACTTCATCGCTGCTTACACTAATTTGCATTTATATAGATTTTTAATTATTCACTGAACACATTTTTGTACACCCAATGGGCCTCATTCATGAAACACGAGCAGAACAAATTTTTGTGTAAATCGTTCGTAAAGCCGTTCTGACTTAAACTTTCGAATTCATGAAAATGTTCGTGTTTTCAAAATGTTAGTTGGTAGGAAAGAAATTTACACCTGCTCCACGTGTAAATGGTGCGTAAAACGTTCTTCTGTGTTCAATTAGGCAAACTGGTGACACTGAATTTGATGCACTGCCATTATAATATTTTACAAGTTCGTTTGCTCCGTTTTTTTTTTTTTTTTTTTTTAACTTTGGGTAAAACTAAACAAAGTGCTTGTCACTGTCACTTTTTACCCAGCCGTCCAATCAATGGAGGAGGGGCGGGACAAATACTACACAGACCAATCATCCTACTTGTACAACAACTGAACAACAATAGAGAAGTTCATATTGCTGGTTACTTCATTTGTATATTCAGTAATATTCTTCAAAATTAGATACTAGTAATACGTGGATATTTCAAATCATAGCAACCAAAGCGTCTCTCAGCTAGAAAAACGCTGTGCCACCAAAGCGTTCTCCAGCACCACCAGCTGGCCGTTTTAAGAAGAGCGCCTGACCGTTTTTCAGCTAGCTAAAAACTCTTTGGTGGACACATGTTATTGAATATTTATTGTTAGGCATATGGTCTATTAGTGTTTTTTGCATTTATGCAATATACTATAGCCAAACCTGAGAAAGTAGACCAGAATATTCCACTGCGTTCCTGGACACGCAATTTACGTAGCTGTAATTCAAAGGTGGGGATTATGCTAATTGTGAATGAGCGTGCACGAGCGCCCTATTTACGAATGATTGGAATTCATTAACATACACATGTTTAACTATCAAATCTGATGTGTACGAAGTGTTTGTGAATTCAGAGGAGAGTTTTTGGGAAGGTCTGTTTTACGCACAATTTACTCAGACTCCTACATTTACGAATGTTTCATGAATGAGGCCCAATATGTGTATATATTTACGCACACCCATGTCTGGAATTTTCTGCTTTTATATTCCATGGAAAAAAAGTAATAATTTGGAAAGAAATTAGTAAATAATGGCAGAACGTTTAATTTAAAGTGCTTTGACCCTTTTTGATTTCTGCTTATACCAACAGAACTTTACTTGCAAGAAACGTTTAAACCCTTAGTCAACATATCTCCAGATGCAAGGTGAGACTTTAGGTCATATTTTTGTAGACTGTGTTTTATAATTTTCATTGCATGATGCTTAATCCTCTCTTTGGTTTATAAGAACATTATCTCTAAATTATTTTGAAACAAATTGAGCAATTAATTCAGATTCACATTTGTGACATTATCTGCTCAGCAGAGCTAAATGTTTGGTTTCTTGTAACTCTTTGCTTTTTTTTCCAGTATATTTGATGCTGTTTACTCACTCATCAAAAATAAGATCCATCGTTTGCCAGTGATCGATCCAGTCACAGGAAACACCCTCTATATCCTCACACACAAGAGAATTCTCAAGTTTCTGCAGCTCTTTGTGAGTATATCGCTTCCTTTTAGCTTACTGATCTTTTATACTTACAGTTATCATACTTTTAGAAATGGTAGTTGTTGTGAACAAAACAAAATTAGTGAAAGGTTTCAGAAGAGTAATAATCATCCTGAGTTATGTAGTGTCCTGTGTACACTGATGGTTTATGGTCTTGTAGGTGTGTGAGATGCCTAAACCAGCCTTCATGAGGCAGACTCTGGAGGAGCTGGGCATTGGCACATACAGCAACATTGCTTTCATTCACCCAGATACACCCATTATTAAAGCACTGGGCATGTTTGTGGAGAGGAGAGTGTCTGCCCTGCCAGTGGTGGATGTTTCAGGTAACGACACATATTGCTAACCTTTCTGTCAGTTCATATACTTCAATTATTCTCCTGTCAAGCCCTTTTTAGGAACAAAATTTAATTGTACATGTCTTTCTAAGTCAAATTTCTCATATGTGCTTTCCATATTTTTCCTCCCCAAGGAAAGGTTGTAGACATTTACTCCAAATTTGATGTCATTGTAAGTTGTTCCTTTAATATACTATTTCAAGTTAAAGAATAACTTCATAGCTTTTTACCACACATTTGTTGTGAGGTGTAAATATATAAGGTTCCCATGGAGATTAAAATGGTGTTTTCCATGGTCATGATCATGGACATTAGTAAAATATTTCTACAGTGAATATTTTTTTTTAGTTCTCTATTCTGAAATGTCTCATCAGGTAGATTTTGCACTTTGAGTGCTTGTGTCTGATGAGTTTTCTAATTTGTACACAAATGCACTACCGTTCAGGGTCAGTAAGTTTTTTTTTCTGCTCCCCAAGACTGCATTTATTTGATCAAAAATACAGTAATAACAGTAATATTGTGAAATAGTTTTACAATCTAAAATAACTGTTTTCTACTTGACCATTTATTATCTATTTATCTTTATCTATTTATTTTAAAATGTAATTTATTCCTGTGATGTAAAGCTGGATTTTCAGCATCATTACTGCAGACTTCAGTGTCACATGATCCTTCAGAAATCATTCTAATATGCTGATTTGCTGCTCAAGAAACATTTCTGATTATTATAGTCAATGTTGAAAACCGTTATGTTGCCTAATATTTTTGTGTAAAAAGTTCAAAAGAAGAAATCTTTTGTAACATAGAATGTTTTTACTCTCACTTTTGATCAGTTTAATGAATGCATACTGAATTAAAGTATTAATTTCTTTATTAAATAAAATAAACAACTTACTGACCCCAAACGTTTAAATAGTAGTTATTGGACCTTATTCATGAAACACTTGTAAATAGTTTATAAATGCATTCAAATGTCCCTTCAAATCCTTTTGTATCCATTGAATTAAATTTATCAACTTATTCTTGTCATGAATAAGACCCACTAGTACAAAAGTGACAAAACCTTAAATGTTACAGTCACCTGCAACTATGTTCAGACAAACTGGATCAAATATGTAGTGTCATGCAATAAGCATCACATGTAAAACTCATCATTTGTCTTTAAATGTTTATTAATAGGATTAATTATAAATGGCCTGTGTTATGATGACTAGTGATGATTAGTTGTGCCGTGTATATTTTGGCTGACTCTGGAGGTTGCTGTAGCGTGGCTCTATGTTCATTAGTGTTGTGGGTGTGTGTAGAACCTGGCAGCTGAGAAGACCTACAATAACCTGGACATCACCGTGACTCAGGCTCTGCTGCATCGCTCACAGTACTTCGAGGGCGTTATGAAGTGTTATCGACACGAGACCCTGGATACTATAGTGGACAGGATCGTCAAAGCTGAGGTGAGATTTACTCACAGCAGTTTACATTGAGCAAACGCCACCAACAGGAATTGCATAACACAGCCACTAGAAGTCCCACCTAAAACAGACACTTTATACACTTAATTTTTGCACAAGAATTGGTGACACTTTATTTTAAGGTCCAATTCTCACTATTAACTAACTATTTACTATGACCTCAATAAATTCTTATAATAATTGCTGCTTATTATTAGTTAGTTTCAATTCAGTTACACTTTATTGTTGGAATCTCTTCAAAAATTGTTGCATCTCACAGCACAACAGTACAATAGAGAGACACAAAAACAAAATACAAAACTTAATACAAAAACAACAACAATATTAATACATAAACACACATGGCTACAGTGCATTAGTGTAGTGTTTTCTATTTTCCAGAGTCCAGAGGCCTACTTAGAACCCCAATTCTGATTTATTAATTTTACAGACTGATGAAGGATTTACGTAATCTGTTCAGTCTGGCATATGCAACTCTAAGCCTTCTGTTTGATGGCAAATTAAGATTTAGTTGTTAAGGTAGTTGTTAAGTTTAGGTATGGGGTGGATTAAGGGATCTAAAATATGGTCATGCACAATAAACTGCCAATATGCTAGTAATATGCATGCCAGTTAATAGTGAGAATTGGGCTCAATTCTCTTAAAATAAAGTGTTACTTAAGAATTATTTAAGTACTTTACCAACATTTCTGCTTTTAAACCCTGCAGTACACTTTAAATCATTGTTTGTGCCTTTTTCACGATTCAGTAGTATTTTCTGTTGTATCGACAGTGTGCCGCAGATTTGCTACATAGACAGTACAATGCAAATAATTTATTAAAATACTCCATTAAATGCACAAAGCTGAAAGATCAATATGAAATGATTTTCAGTTCAGTGATTTTGACTACTCAGAGTCCGTTCACAAAGAACATGTTTTTACCTTCAATTGCGCTGCTTTTCCATCTGATTGTGATGTGTTTGTGTGTGTTTGTGTTTGTGTGTGTGTGTTTTTGTGTGTTTTTGTGTGATTGTGTGTGATTGTGTGTGTGTGTGTGTCCTGCAGGTGCACAGGCTGGTAGTGGTGGATGATAACTCCAGCATCGAGGGCATCATCTCTCTTTCTGACATCCTGCAGGCGCTGGTTCTCACCCCCGCAGGTATAGACGCACAGAATTCCTAAATCAACCCTCCATTTCACTTTCCTTCTCCCTCTCCACTCTTCTCCGGACCCAATCTCCTCTCCCTGGACATCCAGCACTCGAGTGTCCCTCTCTGACCCCCTGAGCACAGGTACGGTCACACAGGCTGGATTCTGATCGGCTTGTTATGATTGTGCTGAATGAAGCTGGATGTAGGTGTGTATTCCAGTAATACATATCATGATGGCATCATTGCAAGTGTTTGTTTGGTACTGATTTTTTTTCCATAACACAGACAGCTCATACATTACTGCAAGTTGACCTGACAGACTGTCAATGGCAAAAAAATCAATACGAGACCGAAATAGCTGTCTGGTTGAATAGTGATTGAAAAACTACATGAAACACACCGCATCTCCCACGTGCTGCTCAGCATGCTGTCCTTAATGTCTCGAGCTGCTATAAGCAACACTCTTGTGAAGGCAAAAATAAGAAACGTCATTTAATGTTTTTGTAACAGGCATTCCACGGTCGTGGAAAACCTGGAAATATTTTTGGCAAAAACTTGGAAAGGGAGTTTTTAAGAATTGTGATTTCCAGGCCAGGAGAGGTTATGGAAATCATATGTCAAGGAAATGAAAATCTTAATAAAATATTTAAAAGCCACAGAAAATCATAGAAATTAAAAAATCTTGAAGTCACCGAAAAGTCATGCAAATTATAATAAGTCACTGAAAATTCATGGAAATTATTACAACTGTAAAAAATCACAGGAAAGTCTTGAAAACCAGTACTAATGGAAAAAGTCACAGAAAATTTATGCAAATTAATAAAATTGTAAAAAGTCATGGAAAGTCATGGTGATGAATACTATCACAAAAATCGTCAAAAGTAACAGGAAAGTCATGGAAATCAATACTTGGGTAAATAGTCACAGAAAATTAATGAAAATAATTACAATTATAAAAAAATGACAGGAAAGTCCTGGAAATCGTAAAAAACTGCAGAAATATTATGGAAATTAATACAATTGAAAAAAGTCAAGGACATTAATAAACTCTTAAGTCATAGGTCAGTCATGCACTGCAAAAATGCTTTTCTTACTTTGTTTTAGTTTTTTTGTCTTGTTTTCAGCCAAAATATCAAAAAATTCTTAAATCAAGAAGGATTTTCTAGACAAGTACAAATTGTTGTCTTGTTTTCAGAAAAAACAAGTCAAAATTAAGTGAGTTTTTGCTTAGAACAAGCAAAATAATCTGCCAGTGGGGTAAGCAAAGTAATCTTATTTCAAACCGAAAACAATATTATTTTGCTTAACCCATTGGCTTGTTTCAGGCAAAAACACGTTTTTTTCTGAAAACAAGACAATAATTTTGACTTGTCTAGAAAATCCTTCTTGATTTAAGAATTTTTAGATATTTTGGCTGGACAAAAAATCTAAGTAAGAAAAGCCTTTTTTGCCGTGAAATGTATTATTGAATGTACATTTTTCTAGTTTCCTTCAGCTCTAAAATATTTAATTGGGATTAAAATGAGCTAATTCACTAAAATTCTAAACCAAATATTTTCCTGTAATTATGAAAAATTTAAATTACATCAGTTTATCAAAAATAATTTGTAGAAACCCTGTTGTAACCAGTTCATTTGTGTTCTGCTTAGTGATTTGTCTGCACTAACAGATTTGTTGTTGAGAGGTTCAAAATACAAGTCTCTTTTTAAAACTCTTCCAGTGATTTTGCCAAAGTGTGTGTGGTATTAAAAGAGCACTGATTGACAGATTTGCTTCATGAACTGAATTTCACATCATTTGGCCCACAGGAGGACGCAGAAGGGACAGTGTGACCGAATGACAAGACAATATTTTGGAGGTAAAAGAGAAACACAAGAAATTCAGAGAACCAAAAAGGTCCCATCGGCATTCCTGACGGGATACGGAGAAGAGGACAGCTGGAAATTTTTTAGATCCTCATTTAAGGGCTGGGAATTGTGCGAGGCTGAATGAAACTGTTTGAATCTGCAGCTGAAGGAACGGACATGCGATCATAACGCACGTGATGTTGGACATGTTTATGGTGGGCCAGCTGTGAGAATCTGCCGCTATACTGTACACTGCTTTAGTTTGCCTGCTGGTCTGACAGCACTAAATCAGGCACAGGGAGGAAGTCTCCTTTTGTGTTCTAGCTGGGTCTGCATTATATCATCAGGCACTGTAATCCACTCTTGGGTGAGCGTCTGAACTGGAAATTTGCCTTAAATGAAGACCTCAGTGAGAGTTGATTGTAGAGGTTAGCAGAGATCCAAAGATGTGCTTGTAGTGCAAAAGCAGGTTCTTGATTCTTCAGCAATAAGTTGCTGTCGGTTCCAAGAACCTGCTAGACTCTGTAGACATCTGGCCTTTTTTTCTCACTTTCTTGATACTTCGAAGTCGCATTTCATCCCAAAATGAAAAGAAAAAATATATAACAAACAAACAAGCAAAATAATGTGATTATTTGTTATTATTTAATGACAATTTCATCACACTTCCCTGCAGTTTTTATTATTGCAATACAAAAACATCTCATTATTTATTATTATTTATATATTATAGAAACAATAAAACATGTATATATTAAAGTATTTATTCTATTACCTGTAATTTACGCAGAATTTTAAAAAAGAAAAAGAATAGTAGTTTTTTTTTAAATAATGACCAACTAATGAGAACCACTTCTGAAAATAACTACATTCATAATTTAATATTACATAGTTGTCATGAAAATAATGTAGTAATTATTTTCAGAAGTGATTCTCATTAGTTGGTCATTATTTAAAAAAAACTACCATTTTTCTTTTATTTTTTTTAATTCTGCTTAAATTACAGGTAATAGAACAAATACTATAATATATACGTGTCTTATTAATAAATAAACAGCTAAATAAAGATAATGATGAATGATGTTTTGTATTGCAATAATTACAATTGCAGGGAAATGTGCTTACTTGTCATGAAAATAATGTAACAAGCAAAAAAAATCTACAGGGTAATATATATGATATGACCCGGACACATTCTTGACAAGTTTAATGAGATTTATCCGAATATTATTGATTTTTCCTGTTAACACTGGGCTATTAGTCCAAAATGTCTACTGAATATGAATTGTTTTTTCATCCTATTAGTTGTCAGTGGAAAAATGAATGTACTACCACACTGCGTACGCACTGACAGTCATGGACTGTATTTTTACTGGAACAAAGAATGTTATGAAAAGTGACTATATATACAGAGCCTTATTTTTCTATTATGACTGTCTGTAGTGTTTGGCTGTGTGGGAAAGCGTGTGCACTACCTGTCTTATGCATTAAAAGAGCATGAATGTCAAAGCTTGCAGTTGCAAAAATGGCCACGCATCTTTGCACCCCAGTGATATGCTGAGCTACTGTAAATACAACATGCCATGTAATGGGTTCAAAACTGATAAATCATGTATTGTTTGATTGCATTTTTTCATTGTAACCGCTGTCGGTGAAAGTTAAAACCGTTAGTTCTGGAATGAAAGAAATGTACATTTTTGTACACAGAAATGACACTACATTTTATTTTTTATGTGGTTGAGCTAAAATATATTGATAATGCATTAATATTTGTCTGAGATTTGTTTTATTGTGCATGTACACCTTCCTGTCACTATGTTTGAAGCTACCGTATGGCATTTTTGAACACAGGAGAGCATCATTTTAAATTAGGGTAGGCCTACTTAAAAATAACAAGGAGATATACATTTAATTGTAGTTATTACATTTTATTCTATCTGTATTTTTCAGCATTCCAGACATACTGTGGTGGGGATTTTTCAGCGACTCTTTCTGCATGCTACGTTGTTACGTCGGTAGGTGGCGACAAGTGAACGTCTGTCAATGAATCGTTAACTCAACCGATTCGTTCAAAAACAATGACTCATTCAAGGACCAAACATCACTACTGTGTATTGCTTTGGACAGATTAATTCTGCTTTGATGTCGCTGGCCTGATGTCTATAAAATGTAAGATGCTCAATATTACTATTGAACTGTTTTTTTTATCAGCAATATCACTAACAATTGCGTTTTTATTCATATGCCAGATACGCTGCTGTTACGTAAAACTGCGACTTGAAGAAAAGACAGTAAAGAATAGAGGCAGAATCCAGAACCGTTTTTCTTGCTCTGTATTCTTGTATTTTATTTTGTTTGATAAACACCATAACAAATACAAATCTGAACGGCTGTATGAAAACAAGTGAATACTAGGCTACGTTTCCTCTCCGTGATATGAATGGCGAAACGCCCCATGAAGCTTTGAAACATTTGTGAATCTTTTGTTTCGAATCAGTGCTTCAGAGCTCGTATCAAACTCGCAAAATTACGAGAACAGAGGTTATCAGAGATTCTCTATAATTAGGAGACGCCCAATAATAATCAATGTTGGGGGTAACGCATTACAAGTAACGCGAGTTATGTAATCAGATTAACGTAACACATTACTTTCCAGAAAAAGTAACTAAGTAGCGTAATTCATTACTTTTTTAGGGAGTAACGCAATATTGTAATGCATTACTTTTAAAAGTAACTTTCTCCAACACTGATAATAATTACCTTCATATTTAATGGCATTACTCCTAGAATACATTTAATAGACTACACTTTAATTAAAAAATTTGCAATTGGTACGTAAAAGGTGTCATTCTGCCTGTTTGAGCTTAATTTTCGTTTCAGTTGATTTAGTTTCGAAAAGCTATGTATTTCTGCTTTTCTCTTAGCGCCACCTACTGTCAGAGAGCGAATGTGCATTTTCATTCAACCTGTCCTTCATTTAAGAACTGTCTGAAACAGTAACACCACTGCCATTAAAATTAGTGACAGTGATTGTTTTATGTACATTTGTTAATTGTATTAATTAAATAAAAAAATGTCAATTCATCATACAATTTTACAACTAATCAGTTTTCCTGCTTTTATTATTTTATTTGAGCTGGAAGAGCTGCCTTATAGAGCAGTGACATGTTTGAAAAGGACAAATTATATTAAGTTGAAAACGTATTAATTCTCTGATCACTTGCTGTGTAATTAAAAGTATGTTTTCTATAGGCATTGTGTAGATCGTAGTTTGATATTTCAGTCTAAAAGTAAGCGGCAGCATGTGCCAGGGCAGTTGTAGAATGATGGACAGAATCTGCTGAGCTCATCTACTGACTTTTTCATCCTCCATGCATCTATCTCCTCTTTGGCTTAAGCAGGCAGCAATACCAATAAGCATGCATTATTAGAAAAATGCATACTCGTTAAAATGGATAATTAGAAGAAAAGCAAGACAATGAGGGAAGTTAGAGAAAATGTGTATTACAGACATACCTGCCAGGCATTCAGAGAATGATATGCTCGCTGATGCTGTTTATTTGAGTGTTAGTAATCTTACAGTTTATATTTGACACAGCAGTGGACAGTATTTTGGGTTTTATTTGTTATGTCCACTAGGGGACACTGTCCTCAGCTGTTTGACCTTCTCATGCCACAGTCTCTAATCACATATGTAAAGTTATTATTAGAGAATGATGAATATTTCATTTAGAAGTTTGTTAGATTAATACATGTAATTTAAATCTTTAAGCGCTTTAAGAAATCTCTGCTTTTTTAAGCCTAAAGAAGTGGTTCTCAACCATTTTGTTTCTCATCTGTGTTTTGGACATTGAGTAGTGAACCAGCACCAAACACAGTAGCTTAAAAAGAAACAAAATGTGCACATATTAATACATTTCAGTCTTTACTATATGACCGCAAACTGCAGGCCCAACAATATGCAGAATTATTAATATGACTATGAATCTCAATGGTTCTGTGCTCTCAGCAGCCTGTAATTCACTTTGCGAAACACAGTCAGCACAAACCATGTTTATATCCTGGCTGCAAGTGAACCTGTATTTAATGTAGTCTGGCTTGTATTTTTATTTAATTTTTACCTTGAATTGTCTAGGTTTTCATTGTTTCATATCACGCAAACGTGTCCATGTTGGAATCTACCTATAATTTGACAAGCGCCAAAACTGTTTAAATGCAGTTTAGAGCAAATGCACAATGATTGGTCAGTACATTTATATTTATATTAAGCATTTGGCAGAGAGTTTTATCAACAGAATCTTTCTTTTTTTTTTTTTTTAGATTCTCTGGGAATCAAACCTATGACCTTGACGTTGCTAGCACAGTGCTCTTTGAGTTGCAGGAACAATACCCGATATATAAATATATAATATAAAGTTGTTATATTCCATGATAGTAACAGTTATGACCTGTTCACCATATGACTATTACCTGAAAATAGTTTTTCTATTTCTAGAGGCACAATGCCACTTTCGCATAATAAAATACTAATTTGCATAATAAAATAACATTTTAATGAAAATGTGTGACCTTGAAGTGGATAATTAACCCCCCAAAAAATAATCATACATATCATAATTTACTCACCCATATTTTGAATATTATAATGTTTCAATTGGTTTTGAACATACAATGAAAGTCGATGGGGTCCAAAACAATATTGGACCTTGGATAATTGATAATATTAGATAATACTGTAATAATTTATTTTAAGGACCAATTCTGACTATTAACTAGCTGCATATTAGCATGCATATGATATTACTGGCATGGTTATTAGTACTTATAAAGCACATATTTTAGATCCCTTAATCCACCCCATACCTAAACTTATATTAATAAGCAGCAAATTAGGAGTTTATTGAGGGAAAACTCTTAATTAATAGTGAATATATATTCCCTATTATAGTGTTACCATAATATTTATATTTAATACTCAAAAAATAAACCCTAAAAAAATGAAATTTAAGTGAAAAGCAAAAATGTATAAGATCTTAAGACTTGTTTTCAGAGAATATATCTTGAATTAAGAATTGAATTGAATTTTTTTTAGCGCTGTCAAACGATTAATCGCGATTAATCACATCCAAAATAAAAGTTTTTGTTTATGTAATATATGTGCGTGTACTGTGTGTATATTATGATGTATATATAAATACACATGCATGTATATATTTCAGAGAAATATGTTATTTATATACACAGTACACACACATATATTATGTAAACAAAAACTTTTATTTTGGATGCGATTAATCTTTTGACAGCACTACTTTTTTTTTAAACGTAACCTTTATTAAATTTTGACAGATGTTTGCAAAAAAATCTTATTAATCTAGTTTTGCCTCTCCAATGAATTTAACTTGTTTTAATTATTTTTATTTAGAAGATCCAAAAAATTATGAAAATGTTTTGCAGTAAAGTTTTAAAAAATCTAAGTGTATATATACAAAACAATATTGTACCCCATTCACTTTCATTGAATGGACAAAAGAAAATATTTTCTATATTTAATCATATTTTTTACATTTTATTTATATTTTACAATTTCTATTAA